TAATTATTTAATTACAACAAACAATTTTTAATTAATTTTCACTCTTTAGTCGCTTTGCTAGTAAAAAAAACAATTTATCATCTGTTTTCCTATTAACTATTTTTCATCGGTAGTTTGCAATAAGTAAATTTACGTAATTTTCTTTAATTTCATATTTGTTAGCTATTTGTAACTTGGATTATTCCTACAACGATTAGAGTTTCCAAAATATTGCCATTTTCACTTGATTCTTATGGAGGGTAGTTATAATTAAAGTTCCTCTTTCAATCCCTTCGCGCCGACTGTCACGTCTACATGCCAGCAACGAACACACTCACTTCCCGGCTGCTGACACGCAGGCGTGCCAGAGCATTTTCCCGTTCACTACCGACTGTTACGTGTTTGTGCCAGTGTCCTGGAACGTTTTAAAAACTATTCTTTTCTGCCAAGATGGCTGTTATGTCCATAGGATTCATTACATGTACTTAGACCTTCTACTCAAAATGAGAGATGTATGACTCACATACACGTGTTTTAGATTATATAAACAAATGGGGAAATAAATGTTTCCGAATAGCGAGCGATTTATGACGTCTTTTTAAATTCGCACTTTATCGCACGGTAGTTGTTTATTTAAGTAGAGAAGTTTTATTCTGCGCTAAAGCGTTGGGTATTTCGGTTTGCAGTTCAGTTTTTAGAAAATAATTTCAACTGTAAAAACAGAAAGAATTCACGTCTAAATGTGAATTCTTTCTGTTTTTACAGTTGAAATGTCGAAGCGTCGAAAATGTTTAACAAAGTATGAAATAGCAGAAATGATGCAAAATATTTCAGATATATTGATTCTGATATTCTGATCTTGATTCTGAAAGATTAACTGAAAGACATTTCCAAAACTTTGTTCAGAAGAGACTGATAAGAAAATGAGACGACGATGCTTTCGTTTATTCAATTCCCGGAAAAATCCTCCAAAACCGCAAATGAGTTCTTACGATTGCAAGGAATGTACGTAGGACTGTGCGTAGATCCCGGTTTCCAATTTTCATACAAAAGAGAATTTTAAGTATATTTAGTTTTCAGATGTATAATGTTAAAAGTCATAAAATGGTGAGTAAGGAAATAAAATGTGTAAAATATGCTTTAAGCAAGAATAAGGTAATTAAGTATATAGTATAAAAAATATCTATAAGCTAAGCCGTTTTAAATACTCTATAGAGCATTATTAAACAATGCGATGATACTTCGGAAATTTCATGGATTTAGGCTCAGTAGCAAAAAAGCCCCCGGCCCTGGACAGACGCTCGCGTAAGACACTGCCGACCTCCGCGATAAGCGCGCGTTTGAAATCGCAAATCACTAGCAAAAGTGTGCGCATTCTGGAAAAAATTTTGTTACAGAACCCAACTTTGTGATTTTTGAAGCCTGAATTCCGCCCTAAGACATGAAGATATCGGTTTAAAACCTTTTTAATCGTTTCTAAAACGTAACTGTTTGTGGGGTGAGGCAAAACCACAATGGCTTGCAATTGGCTTACGGCGGGAAGAAGCAAATGATTTATGCAAATACTCTAAATAATTTAGCGTAATTGAAAGATGCAATACACCGATATGTCCATAATGAGAATGCAGTAATACGATTTAACATGCTTTCCGAAAATGGTGGACGTCACATTGAACATGCTTTTTAACACGTTTCAGAAACGATTAAACACATTTTTAACCGATGTCTTCATGACTCATTTCCTTTAGGAATATTGCATACAGCGCCATTTTCCCTCTGTGGCGAGTTTTTGAACTTTTTTTTTTTCACGGAAAATAAATTATTATGACCTCCTTTACAAGATTACCACGTTTGATAACATTTGGTCCAGTAGTTTTCCTTTTATGACCATTTCCAAGTGGAACTTTAATTATAACTACACTGTACTTTAATTATGCTACTGACTGGCTTTTTTATTTGTAATTAATTTAATGGCTTTATGATCCCTCTTTTATTATTGTATCCCAAAATTTATTTGTTTTTGTGCAGTTTTGATGGTATTTATATCACATACATTTTTAACCATGCAGGTATTGAATTACATTAATGAACAATTAGCTGTAGCGAATTGACCCAAGTCAGGAGGTAGTACATTTAATTTATTTCAGATTCTAATTTTAGGATATATATAATCATATAAAAAATAATTTATAAAATATTGTCCTCACCGGAAAAAGAAGGAAAAATATAAAACACACACACAAAAAAAGATGATGTATGAAATCGATTAAGTTCTTTTCCGTTATTTAGAGTTTCTATTTCCATTAAAATTCTAATGGAGTTTTTCGCTTGCCGTGCAGTGTGAAATTCCGGTGCACGGCAAACAGCATTATTGTTACCTCTCCTGGCCGATGGTGGTCATTTAGAGCAGGTTGCTCTCAAGTTAGGTAGCGGCGAATCCGACTACCAGGCACTGTATCTTTTCGCAGAGATATATCTATTTGCAATTTATTAATTTATATTATCAATTTTTAATTTATAAGAATGCCAAGCGATATTCTTATTTTCATCTTAATTATGCTTATATTAGCATTTTTATATCAGCATAATTTATGTTATAAGTTTTTAATTTATGAGAATGCCAAGCAATATTCTTATTGTCATTTAAATTACCTTATATTAGTATTTTTATATGCTTCAACCATGCATTATTTTCTTAAAGATTTATTATTTCAAAGTTCCGATTTTTACCAGTTTTTGCAATATAACTGAGGTACATTATCTGCAGGTAGCATAATAATTAATTTTCCCAGTGTACGAAACTCTCTATACAAAAATTTTCCACTAGGCCCTATACATTTCTTTTGCCGGTTCTGCAGTTTAATCGAAGCCCCTACTTTCGAATTTTGTTTTAAATACTATTTTAAACGAATATATATAGTAGACATTAAAATTAAATCACGTACATGCAAAACTCAGTTGATGATATATAAATTATGTACATAAGTTTAATTGATTTATATGATATGAGAGTGATTGTTACCTGTTATACGATAAAGGGGTAGCAATAGTCATGTAAAATAAAAATTCTATAATTTATGCATTTCACTTTAATTACTTAGTGTATATTCCTTATTGCTACATATTATTTATTCGAAATCTTCATTTTTATGCACCGGAATAGTAAATGCACTCACTTACCTTGGATTTGGTTGAACTGTCAGCATTGTAGGTGGTAGATCATTGACGTAAGTATGAACTCCACAGTAAATTATACTTGCAAGTATAGCTAAGAATGCGATGGTTAGTCCCACTTTTGGCCTCCTGAATGTAAGTACGATCAACATAAACAAACTGAATTTATTATGGAGCTTATAGTTTTAAAAGTACTGCAAAATCACTCAATTTAAAATTTTAAACTTCCTTCTATTCTTTCGGTAGATTTTCAAAGAACAATCTTTTTATCTCTTTTCCGACCAGCAGTTTCCCTAACGCAATTTTAGGATAGCTGTTTTAGAATCAATTTCAAGGAGCATGGTGTTACTAATTTTGCGCAATGTAAGATGCAAAGTCTGAAGAGCGTGCATCTCTACGGAAAAATAAGGTTACAGGCGCAAGTTTATTTAAGATTGAGGTAAATGACTTATCTTGCTAAATTGGCGAGATATTGCCAATCTGGCTATGGTTTTGGTGACTAATTTTTGTAGACAAAATTCGACAAACTTGGCGACCAATTGGCAACATTTTGGTCCGTTCCCTGTGTAACTGTGATTGGAACTGCAATTGCAAACTGTAATTGATCCCTATATGTAAACTGTATTTGTACCCGATTACAAATTTTACGAATTTTTTATAATGAATTTACGAAATGTTACGAATTTTGCATAATGTAGCAATGAGATTAGATTTTCTGAAATTATAATAATTTGATAAGTTTAATAATTATTTATTTGTTGAATTATAATAATTAGTTAAATTTTGTAAAATTGCGTATCAAAGTTTTATTGATGTTTACATCTCTAATAATCGCATAGTCTTGGTAAGAAAGCGAAAGTTTAGGTAGTCCATAAATTAAACGTTTGTCTGTCCCTCAAATAAATAATTTTTAAAATTAGCCTGTGTTGTGTAGCGAATTTAATTTAATTAAGTGATTAATAAAAATCAAAATTTTAAAGTTTTAATTATTCAAAATTTGAGCTACACAAGTTTGGTTATATTCTTTTTGGGCCTATTAATTCTAGTGTAATATATTTTGGCTTTCCGAGTTTACGCGAACTGCGTCTTCAATCTTGTACATGCAGACAATGGATAAGTATTTTTGTTTCTGCGTAATAAACTCAGTTTTTCATGTCAAAAATTAATTTGATTTCTTAGTATTTAATATCATTAGTTGCAGAAAAATTAGCTCTTTATTTGGCATAACTTTCATTTTTCTAACTTTAATTGCATTTCAGTTATGAGCTTTAATAGTAGATTTTCTTCGTTTCGCTTGTGATTTAGTTAAAGGGGGGTGAAATGCCTTCTTTCCGGTTGAAAAGTCACTTTTTGCGAGTTTTCAGCGTTCTTTCGTTGGGACCCTTGCAGGGTTGTTGAAATTCCTAATCTCCCCCGGTCGCAGGTGGCATTATTTGGCGGGGTTGGCGACTTGGATTTTCCGTTGAGGTTTCAAAATAGGTTTTGGCGAGTTTTGATAACATGAGGGTATGCTGGTTGCAACTTTTCAACTTTCGGCGAAAAAATGGGTTGCGCCAACTTGGCAGTCCGCGCTCTCCCTTTTAACGGTTGTTTTAGGGACACACTTCATTCCTGTCGCTGAGCTCCTAGAGACAAGACAGGGATTTTTTCTGCTCCTGCTTGCTTTGGTGTTCGCCCTTGCATTCCAGCACCGAACCGCCTTGTTTTGGTTTTCTCTCGAGGACTCCGGCTGCGGACCGCTCCTTGGACTACTAGTTCGGACCGACTTTCTGCACAAAAAATGCGGTAAGATCTCTCCTTTTGTTCTCTGTACGTCAGTGCAATGGCAAACGGTCAGATTACTAAGCATTTATTTTGATTTATGTCAATTCTCCAATTTTGGTATCACTGATACACATATTGAGGAATTTGATCTTAAAAATGATAGCAACATATCCGCTTTTTGTGTGGATAGTCACTACAATTGGCAAACCCACATTTCGAAACTATTTGTAATTTAAAGGATCAACTCTTAGATGAGTTCAAAATTCTAAATGCAGCCTCCTCAAAAAAATGAACAGATCGTTAACGAGCTAGATACCATCAAGCAAAATTAAAAATCTGCGACATGTTTATAAGCGTGAATAAATCCCTTAAAAAGATGCAGCAGTAACCCGGCTGTAAATAGCAACATTCACATAAAAGGATCTGAACAAAAAATGCAATTCAAATAGTAATTCTCCACAGAAAGCTACTTTGAATTCCCAACCACAAAAACAAATTGTACAACAGAACAATTCTGTCCCCAACTCCCCACAAAAACAGAATCAACACACGAATGACCTGGAAAGAGATATCCCACCAAACAACCCCATAAAACGCACACATAGCGACAAAAACAGAAAAAAGAAAACAGAAGTTGACAGCGATGGATTCAAAACCCCTCGCATCACGAATAAACGAACATTTTCCGAAACGGAAATCACACCTCCTCTACAACAAAATAAATACGAAAAATTAAACAATGAAGAAATGATGGATCAAAACAACGCAAATAATACTGAAGAATTTATCATCCCAAAGAAAACGGCCTCACACATCCCACCTATCGTCCTGCAGGACTTTACGGCGAATTGGGACAGAATGAAAGAAGAATTTGAAACAATTGGAATCACAAAAATAAAAGGAAATTTAAAAGGGGACACCCTTACCATAAGAGTATTTGATCCCGAAGATTACCGCAAAGCCACCGAATTGCTTACTAAACGGGATATTCCATACCATACGTATAAACTTAAAAGCGAAAAACCTTTAAAGGCCATTATCAAAAAACTCCCAAGAACCTCAAACCCGGAGATCATAAAAGAAGAAATCGCCAGTATGGGCATCCCCATCACAAAAATAAAACAAATTGAAAAATTTGAAGACGGCAAAATTATTAAATTACCGGTTTTTTCCTCGTGGAAACCAAAAGAAACAACGAGGGGAAAAAGATATTTAACATCACTTCACTACGTGGACTTGATGTTCTGGTATGCACGTATAAAAGTCGCCCAGGACCAGTTCAATGTCATAAATGCCAAAGATACGGGCATATTAAGGAAAAGTGCAATTACAAACCAAGATGCCAAAAATGCGCAGGCCCTCACGAAGGGTATACATGCAAACAGGACAAAAACTTACACTCCGCAAAATGTGCCTTATGTGGTTTGGACCACGTAAGCTCTTCAAAACTGTGTAAATTCCACCCTAACAATATCAAAAAAGCAATAGAAACTCGTAAAACGGAAAATGCTCAACCACCTCAACCTACATTCCAACTCAATCAAGAAGATTTCCCTGCTTACCAACGGCAGCACAAAATACCAGCACGCAAGCGGCTGTATCCGCTCCTCCAACCCAGAAACAGAATCAAGAACCGGAACCTCCCTCCTTCTGCGAGTGGATTAAATTGCAGCTGACAAAAGCTAAAGAATTTCTAAAAAGCTTCAAAGAAGCTAAAAATATTATGAACAAAATCGAGGTTGTTATGGCAGCCATAGAATATTTTTCATCTCTAAACTATGATTTCTAGTCCTTTAAGTAATGAACACAAGATCATAACCACTAGCAAGTGCTTTCTTAAAGTCACTTTCTTCAATGCTAACGGTGTTCATAAGCAAAAGGAGGAAATTAAAAACTTCCTCATCACCCATAACATAGACATCATGCTGCTCAACGAAACACATCTAAGGAAGTCACATCGGATAAATTTCCCTGGATACCGGACAATCCGAGACGACAGAATTCATAACAGAGGTGGAGGTACTGCAATAATTATTAAAAACTACCTTCGTTTCGCCAAATATGAATTACCTAACACTGGCAATATAGAAAAAACAGCTGCAATAATTTATAGTGGAATGAATGAAGCCTATTTATTCATTTCAGTCTACAACCCACCTGGCAATAGACTAAACAATAATGATCTAAATAATCTCACAGCTGCTAATTTTCCTACTTTAATTGCGGGTGATCTTAACGCTAAAAATCAAGCTTGGAATTCAAGATCCAACAATACAAATGGAAATTTCTTGAACAACTACCTACTAAATCAAGATCTAAAAATTGTCGCACCTTTCTCCCCCACTAGAATTCATCATGATGGCGCCGGAGACATCCTTGATGTCTATTACTCAAAAATATCAACCAAACTCCTTCTCTAGAAGTCACTTATGACCTTAATTCTGACCACCTGCCAGTCACCTTTGACTTCTATGGATTCTATCATCCTTTGAAAAAACATCTTACCAAGACCAACTGGAATCTAGTCAATAATCTTCTGCAAAATTATACCTGCAATAATAGTTACCCCCATAGCTTTGCAATAGAGAACGAAATCCATAAATTTACTACTACCATTCAAAACGCTATTTCCACTGCTACTTACTCCATAAAAGAAAAAAATCTCAAACCCTTCCCACCCAGATTAAAATACTATCAAGCTCAGAAACGCAGCCATTAAGACCTGGCATCAGTCTAGAAACCCAAATGATAAACGGCACCTCAATTACCTAAACCGAAAAATCAAGACTGAAATTCAAGAATACAGGAATCAACAATGGGACCACCTACTTGAAAATTTGGAGCCGAACCATGAAAATGTTTGGAGAATCGCGCGCTCCCTCAAAAATAATAACAGTTATACCCAGCACGCAATTGAACACTCTGGTACTAAATATTATTCGGACCAAGACATTGCTGACCTCATGGCAGAAGTACAAGAAAATATCTATAAACCCCTCCCGTCTAATAACTCGGAAACTGAAAACGAAGCTCAAGAAGCAGTCAACTACATACGCAATTTTACGCCTCAAAGGCACATACAGTTTACTTCTCCTAAAGAGGTGAAAAACATTATTAAAAACCTTAAGCCAAGAAAAGCGAAAGGTTACGACCAATCTTAACAATAAAGCACTTAAAGCCCTGCCAAATAGATGCATTATCAATCTCTGCAATATTATCAATGGTTGTATTAGACAGTCATACTTCCCCCAACAATGGAAGCACTCTATCGTAATTTTTATTCCCAAACCGGGAAAAAACCCAAAAGATGTCAATAGCTATCGCCCTATCAGTCTTTTGCCGGCTATGGGCAAAATTTATGAGAA